CCATTCTCTATACAAGGACCTCTATACCAGGACCTCTGTAGTCTATACCAGGACCTCTAATTTGATTAGATTATTGCGACCCGTTTTCAACATACCAAATTTAAGGTACGACATTTTTCAAATAATAATTTCTCGGATGTGAGGTGGCTCAGTCCACCTAGTTCTTTTGGGATAACTTTTTTGCATAGTTTAAAAAAGCAAACTTTTAATGTTTTACTTTCAATGTCAGAACCTTCATAAGTTGACAGTATTTGTGCCCAAAACCTTTTAAAGTTCTATAAAACGCACCAAGAATGTTGTATAATGTATTTTATATAATACAATTACAGTAAATATTAATTCGTGGGTACTGGTTGCCCGTTTTTACTATATTTTTATCATGGTGTACTGCACTGTATACAATCTGATTATCAGTGTACTGCACGGTTTACAATCTGATAGTCAGTGAACTGAACTGTTAACAATCTGATTATTAGTGTACTGTACTGTTTACAATCCAATTTTTAGTTTACTGCACTGTTTACAATCTGATTATCAGTTTACTGCACTGTTTACAATCTGATTATCAGTGTACTGCACTGTATATACAATCTGATTATCAGTGTACTGAGCTGTTTACAATCTGATTATCAGTGTACTGCACTGCATAAAATCTGATTTTAAGTGTACTGCACTGTTTACAATCTGATTATCAGTGTACTGCACTGTTTACAATCTGGTTATCAGTGTACTGCACTGATTACAATTTGATTATCAGTGTACTGCACTGTTAACAATCTGATTATCAGTGTACTGCACTGTATATACAATCTGATTATCAGTGTACTGAACTGTATACAATCTGATTATCAGTATACTGCACTGTATACAATCTGATAATCAGTGTACTGCACTGCATACAATCTGATTATAAGTGTACTGCACTGTATACAATCTGATTATCAGTGTACTGCACTGTATACAATCTGATTATCAGTGTACTGCACTGTATACAATCTGATTATTAGTGTACTGCACTGTATACAATCTGATTATTCCAGTTCAATGTACTCTGTTTAGATCTGATACTTGAACAAGTATCAGATCTAAATCATATTTAAGTGTACTTGAGAATTGTTAATTTGTTTGTTTCTCAAATGAATTGTTCAGATCAGAGGGGCTATAAGTAATTATATTTTATTAATTATAGATGTAAATTATTTGTCCAATTTATTCTTTCTGGATTTGGTTAAGTATCGAGTACTGTGGCACAGCCTTGGAAATTTCTCTTGAGTCTGTGCAAAAGCCTCTGTACAATAAAATACTCATTCATGTATTTCAATGTGTACACTGTACATGCTTAACTTCCCCCTCACCGACAACATCGAGATCAGTTATCAAATAATATCTTGTTTATATAGTATTCATGATAATAAATGTTCGATAGTTTAACATGTCATTTAGTTTTCATCATCTAACCAAACCAGATGTTTGGCAGATCTAACTCGTCTTTTTTTAAATAACACCTTGCTTGTTAGTATATACTACAAAGTATATATTTAATAATTGGATGGTTCTGTCGGAACATACTAAATCTTTAGCGACATTTTATGATCAAAGAAGAACCAAGACCACGAAAACTCCACTGTTTTCTGGTTCTTACTGTATGCACTGTTATGTAATGAAAGAGTTTTGTTCTCTTTCGAATATTTATTTTCAAGATGTATTTTGTAAATCGATATAAAAACTTTGGATCCTTTTAAGATTATATTTCTTCCCACTCTCATCTGTAAAAAGGAATACAATGATATTAAGAAAATGCGCTAAGTCGGATATTTAACATCTTTCAACACGGTTTCTAATTTTACGCCAAAAAGACTGTGCACTAGGAAAATAAATAAATAAGTCAAAAATAAAATAAAGGAATTGAGTCTTTGCCACAAATCCCAATTTTCTAATACCTATATTTCTACAACCAAATGATGTAAACCTTTGATATTTCAAACTTATATTGTTTAATATAACAGAAGTCATAGTTTGAAATATCAAAGGTTTATATTATTGGGTTGTTGAGATATAGGATTTAAAATTCAATGTTTGTGGGAAAAACTCAATTCCTTTATAACCTCCCAAAAATATGATTTCTTGTTTAAAGCAATATAAACGCAAAAAGTGTCTCAATAGATCAATTCATCAGCAGGAATTCTATCAATTAATCAACTATTCAATTGGATCGAAAAAAAAATCAAAAAAAGAGATAAAATGATCCAAAAAAACAAGTAGACTTAACTCGACTTTTACTACCAGAATTAATCGTTCTGCACAGCTCGACTTTAAGCTCAGATTTTACCACTTTATGGGACAAGATTTACTACCTCTGTTTTACCAGTTTTACCACTTTATGGGACAAGATTTACTACCACTGTTTTACCAGTTTTACCACTTTATGGGACAAGATTTACTACCACTGTTTTACCAGTTGCACTTTTTTAACTCCTTCTTACTCCATAAAACTTTTTACTACTGAGTTAAAATTTTAGTCGTAAAAGTCGACTTTTAAGCAAATTTTGTCAACTTTTCAATTCGGCTTTCATTCTACTTTTATACACTCGAGTTTTTAACCCTTAGCTACGGATGTGCAATTTCTGAAAAGATCAAAGTTTTGAACTAAGGACGTTTTTGCCAAGACTCTCGCGCAATTACAAACATACAGGTTGTCCCACAAAATATGACAGTAGCAAGATGACTTTAAAGATCATCACTTATTTTTTAAATAATTTAAGACATTTATTTGTTAACCAAATTTAGAAGGAAAACTTTAGAGTTAATAATTAAAAAATACCCCTAGTATTGGAATTTCCAAAATGTGGTCTGCCTTTATTGTGCTTCAAATCGGAATTCCGTTGTGCGAAATGATTGCTTCCACTTGCTGCATTTCATTGCGCGGAATTACGCTATAATTGTAAACAAGGAAGCAATAAAATATTCGCGGTATTGCGTGCAACGGAATTGCTTTCCCATCTAAAAATCAATAACTTTGAACTGTGACTTACAAACTTATGCAGCAGATACAAGAATGAAAATATCTGTATATTTTGAAAAAATCGAGGCCGAGGGTCAGATGTTTCAACAGTTTTCAAATTAAAGTTTCTTGTGGTTAAGCTTCTAGTTAAAAATTTAATATGATTGTCAACCATTAACTGCAAGACCCCCCCCCCCCGCCCATCCATGTAATGTCGTCTTTAACTTGAAATCCCCTCTCGGAGACACCAAACCAAATAATTTTTAGCCCCATTTTCTTTGTTCTCCGGTAACGGAGTCTAAACACTTTTATTTTTGTGAACAGAATATTTTCATATAAAGAATTAGTGACTTTCGTTAACAATTAATTGTCATTCTTCTCAGAAGTTTAATGTACAAAAACGTCTTAGGACTCCCCGACAGTTTTAACCTTCATATCAATTATTAGATCGTAAGAATCTTTTCATTATAAAATTTGTAACAATTTATATGTTATTCGTCATTTCATTTTTTTAGGAAATAAAGAGTTTTTCTGCATTATCGATTTCGATTTGTGGATTATCCTGTTGTATTACTGTTCATTATTGAGAATCTTGCTGCTATCCGACAACAATGATACATTTTCCATTTTCTCACGTTGGATGAACATTAAAATGGAAGTTTTTTTGGTTTAAATTGTTAGATTCGTTTATTCAAGACTAGATATTTGCTACAGTGAGAACCAGAAAACTAAGGTACAAAAAGACAATATTACAGTGTATATTTGATGTTGTTACAAAGCAAAGTATTATAATTAGTGTAGTAACTTATGCAGTTTTTAGTTAAATGGGTCTGCTTGAGTCTAAAATGTTGTCTTTCTATGTTAAAGTTTTCAGGTTATCATGGAGCAAATGAATATTATATTTTATAAGATAAAATCTAAATTCAATTTTTTTAGTGAAGTTAAGTTTATTGTAAGCCACTACAAATGTTAAAATTGATTTTTTTGTTTCTGGACGGAATTGTGCAATAATTAATTGCACTTATTGCGTGCCCTTAGGTTTAAATTGAGAGTAATAAAAAATATAAACAAAAGCCAAAGAAAGTTGGACGGAACTGCGGGTAATTGTGTGCAATTCTGTTGAGTTTATTGCATGTACAATTTGTTACGGAATTACGAGCAATTAAATTCACTTGCGCGCAAGGGCTCGCAATTGCGTGCAAGTAAAATCCATTTGCGTTACTTAATTAATTAATTAATACTTAATTACCGGAGATTTAAAACTTTTTGTTTAGATTTCGACTATTTTGGATTTTTGTAATAAAATTTTAATCGGAACGAAATTCTCAATATCTCCGGTAATATTGACAGCACAAAAAAAGGCAAACCACATTTTGGAAATCTCATGCATAGGAGAAATTTGTGGTAATTGTTTCCATAATTTTTCATGTGAAAGAAGATTGACGACTGAATGTCTCAAATAGATGCAAAGATCTAAGACGACTTTCAAATTGTCTTGTAGCCACTGTCATCTTTCGTGGGACACCCTGTGTATTTAATTGGTACAATGCAAGATTTATACATAAGAATTACATACTTTTATTTTTAAAATCTGTTAAACTCCATAGTGAAATTCTTTTATACAAACGCTAAAAAAAGATTTTTTAGGAACCTTTATTTCTTTAATGAGTTTCATGTTTAAAAATTCAACATGAATAAGTTATAATTTATTATAATTCATTTCATTTCAATTTTTTCAAATAAAAAACAATTTATCAAAAACGGACATTCATGAATTATAGCATAGGGCCTCTCGGCCTAGCTAAAGGGTATGGATATTACTTACAGGTGATAAAATCAGATTAAATATATTTCACTTTTTTTCAATAAAATTCAAAATTAATCAATTAAGATTTTCAATGAGAAACCTTAAAATAATTTAATTAATCAAATTATATTAACCTTTATAAATACACTTTGTCGGGTTCGGGTATAAAAAAAGGTTTATAATTGATTGAAGTGTAGTCTAATCCAAATCAACATGAAATTTCTTTTGGTGCTTGCAATCTTTGCCTATCTACAATTGTAAGGAACATTTTATAAATTCAAAACTATCAATTTGCTAAACTCAAACTAGATTATAAATATAAAATGTTTTACTTATCATATTTCTTAGAATATATTTTTTTCAAATTTTCAAACAAGGGAACTATTGCTTTAAAACTAATATTAGGGCTGAATGTCATCTTGGTTCCACAACTGTAAACTGGAAGTACTACTACCTACAGGCGGTCATGCCCGCCGGAAACTATTGCGGGCAAAGGAAACCAATCACAGGTAATCTTTGTTTTCGGTCATTTGCAGTCCACATCTGATAAATAAAAGCAATGAAATGTGTATTTATTATAAATTAAAGTTTCCTTTTTTTTCTTTCTTATAATACATGAAATATGTTCTCCGGATGACGACTTTAATATGAGTGATTCAAAGAAACTGTTACTTTCATTTCTTTAAACATATAGGACTGTAGGCAGAGGAAATTATTCATGCCAGAAACTTAATAACCAAAAAAAATTAAAAAAGGAAATTCATAGTTTTTGTTTAAAAAATTGATGAATTAATTTTAATAGTTTTCTTCCTGGTTATTTAATACTTGTTTAAAAGCGTATCTTCTTCGCACCATCACCTCTGATCAAATTTTACATACGAATTCACACTCTCACTTAGAACTTATCCTTAGTAAAAACGTCTCAATGATATCATATGAATCCCAAACATTTTCTTTCTAATATTGAAGTTTCAGTTCAACCACATAACTAGGCTTTAAAAAGGATGGACTACAGTTAGAGATAGATACAAGGCTTACAACTCTGGTGGAAATGTTGACAATACTTACTTTGCTAATGGAGTCTTCACTACTCCATCCGCAGGTTAACATTTACTAGAATGTGGCCTGAACATATTTCATGAGCCCTCTAAGACCATATTGAACAAATTAGAGAGGTCGCTGATCTGATCTGAACCGCTGGTTCAAATCCTGAATCACCGAATCATTGATTCAAATCCTCAAGAATTTTTTACTTTCAATCAATCGATTTGAACCGACGTTAGGTAGTTCAGCTACATCTTGCAATTCATTAAATTTGGTCGCCAGAATAATGTTTATGGTTGATGTATAGTTATTTGGCTTGTTGGGGTATATCTTAGTAAGGAAAGGCCACACAAGATTTATCCATCTTATTTCTTAATTTTGTCAACATTTATCTTCTAATTCTTTGTTATATTCATTAGTATAGTTGCAAATTTTAATTGAATTTTAATTGAGGATTTTCTAATCCATATCTTTGCAACCCAATTTTATGTAACTTTGAATTCTGTTAGATCAAATAGTTAGATCAAGTTTGAAATATCAGGAATTTACGCCATCAGGTTGCAAAGATATAGAGATAAGAAACTTTACACTTGTGGCAAAAACTCAGTTCCTTTGTATCGAGTTTTCATTTTGAAAAAAGTGCAGAATGACTATTTACTATACTCAGGTGTTTACCATTGCTGTGGAGCTGCTAGGTGCAAGCAAGGCGGTGTCTGTGACTTCACCCTCTGTAAGAATTTTAATAAAAAATTGTTTTATTTTTATTTTAAGATTTTTTATTGTTCAGCAGATAAGATTTTTAACGTCAATTATGAAAAATCTCAAGTCTTCAAAATATTATTAAGGAAAATTTATTATTTGAACAAATTAAATTTTGTAGTTTTAGCAAAAGTTTTAAGAAATCCTCATTTCATCACTGTTCTACTATGTTTAATCCAAAATCAAATCCTATTAAACTATTATTATTATTATTATTACTATTATTTATTTAACGATTTAAAATCAGTGTTAAAATGTCCTTAACCATTTTTAGCTGTGAACAATCTATTTTAGCTAAGAATGGAGGAACAAATGTCCTTGCAGCTTTTGGAACAAGAGTCACAAGAACAAATGAATGGTTAGAAATAATAAATATATTTTTCAAAACTTTATATAAAACTGAACTCCGACTTTTTAAGTAAAGCCTCCTTATGCGCTAGTCTTTAATACCCGGAGTTCTATTACTCAGGTCTAATGTCTCAAACTTGATTGCTTTTGATTGGTTGAACAGAAATAATGATTCAACATACAAATGAAAACTGAAAAATTGTCTGAAAAATCAGCTGCCAAGAATTCACAGTTTTTAACTTCTTGGGTGTTTAAGCCAAGTTTTGTATTGATTTGTAATGTTAACATTTGAGCTCAGAACTAATTCAAAATAAATTTTATCAGGCAATCTGTATCCACCTGCGTTACAGAGAGATTTGCTCTTGGTGCAACAATACAGGTATTTTAAAAATGCTTCAGTTTAGTGCAATTATTCAATTTTAATAATGCAATTTAATTTTGACGACCTGTTACCATTTTTTTTGCAACAATAATGACGTTCAACGTTATTTGGTTTACGGGGTAAAAAATTTTAATTTGGCGCGCGAAGCGCGCCGAAATTTTTTTTTACCTCCCCCGG